CATGATACTATAGGTAGAAAATCCTAAAGATGCCACCAAAAAACTACTGATCTCAGTTATATGTGGAATCTAAAAAACAAAACAGGGACTTCCCTGGTGGTGCAGTGGTTAAGAATCCACCTGCCAATGCAGGGGACACGGGTTCAAACCCTGGTCCGGGAAGATCCCACATGCTGTGGAGCAACAAAGCCCGCGTGCCACAACTACTGAAGCCCGCACACCTAGAGCCCGTGCTCCGCAACAAGAGAAGCCACCGCAATGAGAAGCACGCACACCGTAACGAAAAGTAGCCCCTGCTCGCCACAACTAGAGAAAGCCCGCGTGCAGCAACAAAGACCCAGTGCAGCCAAAAATAAATAAATAAATTTATTAAAAAAGAAAAAATTTTAAAAAATAAAAACAAAACAAAAACAGACTCATAGCTACAGAGAACAAATAGGTGGTTGCCTGAAAGGAGGGCAGGGTGGGGGGGAGGGTTAGATAAATAAATGAAGGGGATTAAGAGGTACAAACCCCAGTTATATAACAATTAAATCATGGGGAAGTAACATATAGCATAAGGAATATGGTCAATAATATTGTAATAACTTTGTACGGAGACAGATGGTCACTAGACTTATCATGGTAATCATTTCTAATGTACACAAATGTTAAATCACTATATAGAATACCTGAACTAACATAATATTGTTCATCAACTATATTCCCCAAAAAATGAGATTAAGGTCTGAGAACTATAATTGACCTAGTTATACGGCATAAATTTGCAGGTAACCTCATCAGCATTATTTCATGACATCATCCAGCGATTTTGGGCCACTTGAGATGAAGCAGAGAAAGCAGGTAGTGAGTCATCCATGCTTGAGATTAATGCTATTGAGGTCAAGAATTATAGATTCAAGATTTTTCCAGTAGTAAATATTTACTCCCATTTTCAAATCACTTCGCAAATTATAGTTCAAAAGATAGGATCACTAGGAAATTTTCTAGGGACTAAATTAAGTAGCAGAGATACAAAAACCAAGATTGGTCTTCACCTTGTTAGACATGCTATAGAACCCCTCAGGTAAATCTCTCCTTTGCTTCTTATCCCCTCTGCCACCCCAGCTATTACACAAGCTTCCTAACTCTTCTAATTTCCTTTGTCCCCTTACACTTTTCTACCCCCAAATTCTTAAGCTCATGTAATTTTTCTAAAGTGCACCTCCAATTATATGATTACCCTGATTAGAAATCGTCATCTATTATCTATTGAAATAAACTAACAACGAGCCCAGTATTCAACATCACCCAAATTTATTTTCCATTCCTCTTTTCCATGGCTCACCTCTCTACCTGCAGACCTTCCCACTTAGATCTTAGATCAGCTTAGATCACTTAGATACGATCTTCCGTATTTTGAGTTCCTGCTCTCTTTCAAATCCCTCTGAGTACTTTGTATGTCTCTGTGGCACTTATTTTACTCTGCTTTCTTTTGTTAAATGAGTCTTATTCTTCCCACTCTCTCCATTACACATTAAAATATTTTAGACCAGAAATTGTATCTTGCTTGTTTTTGTATTCCTATTAGCACAAAGTACATGAGTACATGTTAGGTACTTAAAAATAATAATAATAATGCTTAATTGAATGGAGTTCATTAATCAACTTTTTCTTTTATTATTATCTTGCTTCCTAAAGAGACATACCTCATAATTCCTACAGCATCATCTGAGGTAGCTGGCTAAAATAATGCCGCATCTGTACTGTTTGCCCTAAAATTGTGTAAAATTTTTGGTAATTGTTAAATCCTAAAATCTGGCCCATTTATGTCACTTTTCTGAGATGTCATGCATGCGCTAGTATGTATATATCTTCATTAAAAATGCATTTTTTTCAACATGATTCCCAGGTCCATCCTGTCTGTACTTGTACTTAACAATTTATTTGCATAAATTGGGTATTAGTCTTGTTAGTGGTTATAGCACCCAGGGTAGGGTCACCCCATTCATGGAGTAAGTATAAGTCAGACTGTCTCCACATCGCCAGCATAATGTAAGTAGAGAAATACAATGTGAGTCATCATCACACAGGCGTGAGTCATGGGTCAAATAACCTTTCATTAAAGAAAGAAACGGTATAGAGTAAAACTGAGCTGAGATGAATATTCCATTTAACCCCATCACCTCTTACCCCATTACACTTTGTGGAAAGACTCAGTGAAGAGTCTCAAGAGCTCTGGCACTCCCAATGTAGAAAGGCAATAGAATGCAATTAACACCCTGCATTGTTTAAATAGCTTACTTTGCAGGGGAAAAATGTCTAAAAAGGTTTAAATTCGGTATAAAATTGTAGCAACCACAATTTTAATCGCATACCAACTGCAAAATATTTCTCTCATTGTCTAAATAAAAAGAAGGCTATAATACATTCTGTCTGCTTGTTTCAGGGCTCAGTTATTAACCTTTAAGAATCTTTTCTAGGATAAAAGCCTCTTTCTCCAGCAAACACATCTTGAAACTAGGACTTAATCTAAAATCCTAACTCCTGTCATGGACCATGTCGGAACTTCAATCCCTATTATAAAAATTGCTGAACAATATTTCAAACACAGGAATTTCAGCACTTTTTTTTTAATTGGCAGCTAAAATAATAATAATTTTTAGAAGACACAAAAATGAAACGCTACCTTCTCTTCCAACACACAAACACACGTTAAAAAAAAAAAAAAAAAAGCACAGTACTCAATCTGATTACTCAACAGCACGTCATCGCAAACGCAAGCGAAAACTGGGTTGCTGTTTCCATAGCAATGACTTTATGTAGTTTAACTCTGCTGGGAATTTAACCAAATCCCCAGCAGCAGGAGAAAATCATCAGCAAAAATTTTGTAACATATGGCAAGTGCCAACAGAGCAGTGAGGGGAAAAATAGTTTTATTTTCTCTTCCTTCTACTCCAAGGAATACCTTTATGTCAAGCTGTTTGAAGAAGCATACAGATATTGTTGGTCACTCTGTACCTAACTCAAAATTTTAAAATACCTGGTTTCTTCCTTCTTAGATTACAAGAGCTGTTGGTACTCAGTCAGGCTCTGCAGCACACTCGTGCCCAGAATGACATTAGACATGGACAAGAATTGCGTGCATCTTCCCATGACTATCAGGTTACTCGTCCTAAAGGAAAACTCAATCCGCGGTGTTATCTCTTGAGAACGAATGCAAATGCAATTTTATTCTCTACTTTGCTTTTGAAGCCATCCTCATCCCGGGGTGCTGTGTGTGTGTGCGCACGTGAGTGTATGTGTATTTGTGCATGCATGAAACAAACATTTTAGTTCTACTAATGGCCCAATAATTAAAGCCAGAGTTTTTAGCAGGAAAATAATAGATATGGTCCTCTTCATTATTTTCTTTAGTTCCACCAGGCCTATATCTGGAAGGATCTTCTAAGTATCAAGTTAGAGGCCATCTAGTTCAAGGTACTTAAATTCCCTCTTCAGTATATCTTCATAAGAGAAAAAATTGTAATCGACACGCAACATGCAATTGAGCCTATTCAATTTTGAACAGTTCTCAATGTTAAAAAGAAGTTTCTTATGCTGAACCTAAAATTATCTCCTTTTTACTTGCACCACGGGCCTCAAAATTTGCATCAATTTCATACTTCCACAGAGGTACAAATTAAGCCCAATATCTTCATATCAAAACACCTCACAGAGCTGAGGCCAGCTTGAGTCTACTGCCTTCCATTCTGTACAGTCCAATATTGATCCCCCTGCCCCTACCTCATTCACCTCTAAAAGTAGGTTATTTTGGCAATGACTTCATTTACTCCATTTTTTCTAATTGTAAAGTAGATAATTGGCCTAAATTAGGGGTATCAAACAAAAATGACATCAGAGGCCAGGCAGGTAACTCAACTTATGTTGAGTTGCCTTATGTAAAGCATCTTCACATAAGGTCACAGGGAGCAGTGACAACGGACACACGGGTCTGTAGTTGTAATTCTTGGCCTAAATTACTGATACCAAATATCAAATTAATAGGGTAACTATGAAAATCTGAGAACTTAAAGAAACTTTCCCTGATTAGGCTGGGGGAGAGGGGACAGCTGTCACCTACGTCATCAGGCCACCCCGACTGGCGATCATGGGACTTTAGCCAGTCAGCTTCCCCTCAATGGTGCACTGAAAGAATACAGATCAAACTCGTCATTCTCTCATTTTTAAGTATCTGCTATCAGGTAAACTTGTTTTACACTGGAATGAATAAGGCACAGACCATCAGGAAAGACCCATCATGACTGAAAACTAATCATTTTTTAAAAGTTAGTCTGAATAAAAGACAAGGACCAACAATCATGGAGTATTAAGAAAGCCCACACTCTTCATTTCCATACTCCAATAAACTCTTTCATTTGCTAAGACTTAACATGCTTTTCTTCAAACACATAAGCTGTGCTCTCCTTCGGTTCTAAAGTCCTCGTGCTGCCCCACAAAGTGCACGTAGACCGTCTGTCTTCCTGCTCACCATGTAGGAAGGCCCCTCAGGAGCTGACCTGCGAGGACCCAGACCTCATCTGTGCTTATAGCCCAGGGAAGGTGGTAGCTCTGCGTATGTTTGGAAACATGGTGGTGATGTCATCTACAAAATGTCGATCTAATCACCACAAGCTCCGGAGCACAGCACACGGGACCAATAAAAACCAAAACAAAACAAAACAAAAACCTCAAGTTTTACCTCAGATTGGTGAAAAAGTATCATTCTTTTCTGAACACGTCTCATAGTTGCAAGCATGTGGTTGGTGACACTTACAGCGGGTAATAAATGGTCCTGAAGCTGGAGTTTTCTACATGCGATCTCTCCTCTACAGAAGTAGCCCCTGGACTTAGCCCCACTTGACTGTTTAATTATTAAATCATTCGTGACTTTAAACATTCTTTTTACAATCGACGTTAGCATTCCACATCCACATACAAATATTCATCCTCGAAAAAGAGTAAATCGTTTCTTGGTTTACCTCTATCTGTCATCTCTGATCCAGCCGGCTTGTCTGGGACACAAAGATGATCTAGGTTGCTACTCAATGAAGAAGCGTCATCACTGGATAAAGAGTTCAAAACTCCACTTTCTGATGTGGCGAAGCTGGTTTCCAGGGCCCTGCGACCATTTGCCTCCGAGGGTGCAGGTGAGCAGGCCTGCACAGCGCGTGTCACAGACTGTCCCACGTCTTCAGCGGCAGACGAGCTGTCAACCACGTCCATCCAGGGCTGTCTTTCTCTAGATATGAGAGAAGACAAACTGCTGGGCGTCTTTTTTATGTTTTCCATGGAAGAGAAAGAACGCGACGTTTCATTCAATTTGGGTGAAGACGAAGATGCCCGCTGGGCAGCCTGTTTTTCACAAATAAAAGCAAAAGAGAATAAAATAAATCATGATTAAGTCAGCATTCTCTACTTTTCATTTTCAAGGAAGGTATTCCAGCGTTTCAAAAAGTTGCCAATAATAAAAGAATCAAAAGAAAAAGAGATGGTATTTATACCGGTATGACAGACACTATGATCCCATTTTCCAAAACCAATCTGTATAACTTTGAATCACTACTCTAGGATCTGAAAGACCTCCATGTCATGAATTACCCTACTCTTCAATGCTCTCCAGGTAACTAAAAGACTCCTTTGAGGAATTCATTGGAACACTGAAGGATGCTTTGAGCAAAAAGTAGATTGCAATCTCTCACTGAATTCTTACCAATTGAGCAAAAAATCTTGAGAAAGGTGATTAAGAGAGGGAAAGCAAAAGCTGGAGCCAGACGGGAAGCAAAATAATATTAACTGAGTGGAAGACCAGTGATGTGGGTACAACACATACATTTACACCCTCAAACATTTGTCACAGTTCCTTAGCACATGACCAGTATAAGCTCATAACTGCAGAGTTAAGTGAAATAATGTTAACTCATTCACTCTTCAATAATTTTAAAATATCAATAAACTTTCACCAAAGAAGACGGGAATACACATGCAGTCTCCTCATTCATTAAAGGGAAACCAAAAACTACGAGAAGTGGGTTGATGGTGGGTGTAGGATCTTCTGAAAGCATCTCCTGGCATACAATCCAAGGGTGAATGCCAATCCTTGGCAAAATTTTCACCAGTCCATGGAGAAAACATCAATGCAACATCACCAATGTCCTCTCTGGGGAAGGACTTCATTTATTCTGAGATTTTATCCTTGTTACATTTTGATGTTAAAATATATGCCTTCATTTGGAAAATGGTAATGGTAGCTATTAGTTTTTGTCTTTTGGAGATTTTTTTTAATGTTCTCCATAGCAAAATAAAGATTTGGCAACTATATGTTGTTCCTCCATTTTTAATTTCATTGGTCAATAAAAATCCAAAAAATCTAAACACCAGTGCTCTAGGGGTCACCCTATATCTCCAATGGCAGATAAGATAGAGCAGGCTTTTTCTGGTTCGGTTTCATTATGTCACCCTATGAGATACTCCTGTCAATTTCAAGCATTCAGATCTCCAAGGAAGTGGAGGAACTGGTAGGGAGGAGATTGTTAGAGGGAAGAAGCCAAAGAGCAAAGTAGGCTCCTTTCCCCAAAACCTCAGCATCACTGCAACTAACTCGAGATAGTTGACTTTGTTCCAAATTAATATGTGCCCAAGAATTTTGCAGGTTCTAAGCTCTGAGTTCTGATGGAAAAAGTCAGGAAGTGTCCAATGAGTGCCTAGCTGGCTGCATGCTAGACATGGATTGTCAAATAAGCAATAAATCCACTTTTTAGTAGCATGACACTAAAACATCTAGTTAAGATACTAACTCATCACACACATCTTCTTAAAAATAATATATTTGGCATGACATGAAAACTTTCCTTTCAGGAATGTGTCAAAAATCTTTCAAACCAGCTGCCTTCAATCACCCAGACCACTTAACTAGGAGATCCAGATCTGTAATTCACTAAATAAAACCCTAGCTACCCAGAGGAGGTAACGCACCCCCTACCAAACTGTCCAAATAAATGCCAAGACTTGTTTACTCGTTAGCAGGATCTACGGAATAAATGTTAACAAAAATACCCATTCAGGCCCAGTCCTGACACAGTTCCCTATTGTGAGCTATTTTAGTAAAACTTGGCTTCAGTGGGATCAGCTTCCTTTTCTGAAAAGAGACCAAACACGAGCTTTTCCTGCTTCTCCTGCTGATACTACTGTAATTTGATTATCGCAAAATGGGCTATTTGTGCAAAAACGCTGTTGCTGCAGCACGTTCCGTAGCCTTTTTAAACCTCAAAACTCTGCTTAAAAGACTGAGGAAAGACACATTCAATGAGCATCAGAAATTTCCGGGGAGTGTATTTCTGCTTGTGGTACTCCTCAAACACACAGCCAATGCTTCCAGCCCGCTTTCTCTAGCACCACGTAGCACGTATAAAGTTGGTTTTCAAACGGAGAAAAGAAGAGCGAGGGGCGGAAAAAGGAAAAGAACCAGAGAGAAGAAAAATCAAAATGAGAAAAGGATGGTGTGTACCAGGTCAGAGGGAGTTTTCGTCAGAAGAGAGATTGACACAAATCAAAGGTTACCTGGAGTGCAGTTACAGAGGATCGATAGGGGAATGTGCTTTATAAACCCTGTGGTTTAATAAAGCTAAATCCTGCTTTATTATTTCTACCATCCTCTAGCTATTCATAGCCATAAGGCAAACAGAGAACCTTTAGCTCAGTGCCTCTAGGAACTATCCAAGTAACACACCCAGAAAACTCCCCACTGCAAATCACATGAAGGTAGAAAGGAGCAACAGCCTCTCCTCTCCAGCCCACCCCTGGCTTGGCTCACACAACCCCAACCTTCAAGGGTCAGTTCAAGGGTCACCTCCTCCAGGAAGCCTTCTCCAGTGGCCTCAGGGCGAGGTAGGTATCTTTTCCCCACGCTCCTGGGCTTACTTCTATCCTGGGCTTACTTCTATCACACCAGGTAGAGTATCGTTTTATTTGTCAACTAATACTGTAATTGCTGATGGATCTGTTCCTCTTTTTTGGTGAGTTACTTGAGAGCAGGCTGCTTTTAATCATTTTTGCATCTCCATTTTTTTGCATTTGTGCCTGACCTTAGTAAATTAAGGTCAGCCTTAGTAAATTAAGGCTAGTTGGTAATAAATTAATGCTACAAAGACTGGTCTAGGAAACCAGCTATGTGAAGGCAAACAGCCCAGAGCAGTTCAGTCTCTTACTCAGGAGCACCCTGAAGTTCTCTGTGAAGTTGCTATGGATGATTTATCCTAATCCTGGGATCCAGGGGTGACCATTACTGATTGCAATGCAGATACTCCCACAAAGTATTCTCAGAATCTCAAATAAAATTATTTTATTTATTAGACATTAATAATTGTATGTTGTTTCATTTATTTCAGAACATTTGGGCTTCAAATTTTTATTTTTTTAATGAGAAAATGAAAGATATTTTAAAAATCTTAGTTTTAATGAGGAGAGTATGTACATGATTAAATAAAAGAATCAATATTGCTTTTCTCCATTTTCTGTATAAGAGATTTTTATTCATTGAAGAAGCTTAGTTCAAAAGCTGATTAGCTCTAAAATTCTTTTCTCTGAATTGTTTTTAAAACACAAGTTTTAAAGAAAAGAAAAAAGAGTTGAAAATGGCCACCAAAAGCCTGTAATTAGAAAGGAGTGAGTCAGCATAGAAATTTAAGCAGCATTAGTCAAAGTATATAAAAAATAAAAGAAAATACAGGAATAACTTAAGACTAAACAAAATACAACCAAATGAGAAAAAAAGGAAAGTACACAGCTGTTCTTTCCTTCCATTGGCCATATTAATGAAAATAAACTAAGCAATTGCTGTTAAGCCCTAGGAGGTATTGTGTTTATAATTCTACCATATGCTAGTAGAAACATTATTCTAAAAACCCGAAGACTTTGTATGGTATACTGCCCCCTCTGTCACTGGCCTTCTGCATGACCTTGGGCAATGAGCTGCAGGCCGTCCATTCCTCACTCCAATCTTTAGTATCCAAGTGGCCTTGCAGAAACCACTTTACTTCCAGGTCCTAGTTTACTGACTTCCTGCCTCTACCATTACCCAACCCCTCCCTACCCTAGTCCATCCACCAAACAATAGCTAGAGCATTTCTAAAGCAGAAAATGCATCATAGTGTTGTCCTGCTGAAAATCCTCCAGTGACTGTCCATCATGAGTAGAATATCCATAGTCATCATTATAGCCAAGACAACCCACATGGACCCCTACCCACCTCTCCAGCAACATCTTCAACCTCCCATTCCCTCTCCTTTCCAACCGCATGGTCTTGTTTCTGTTCCTTGAGCACGTCTCTGGTTCCTTGTGCCTGAAAAGCTCACTCTGTGGATTTGGGGTTGGCTGACTCTTTCCCATCACTTTGGTCTCAAGTCAAATATCACCTCCTTAGCAGGCTCTTCCCTGACGGTTGTAAGCAAAGCAATATCCTCCCCAACCTCAACCCCAGCCACTCCCTAGAACACTGCCCCAGTTAATGTTTCTTCATAGCATTTATCAGTACTTAGACTGTTTGAATTACAAATTATTGTGACTTTTCTTCAACTTAGAACTTAAGATGCTCCACGGAAGAGACTGTCCAGCTCAGTTCAGCATCCCCTTCTTTGGAAAATACCTGGCATGTGGTTGATACAGAAAAAAAAAGTTGCCAGTGGTTTGTCTGCCTTAGATTATCAAAAAGAGCAAATGAGAGAACATAAAAGATATTCGTAATAAAAGGTAAACTTAAGCTTGCAAAGGTTACTTAAGACAGTTCTATTTACTTCTCTGGCACTTGACTTCATTTGTAAAAGATGGGACTTCTATGAGTCGAATGAAGTCATCCTTCTGAAAGCCAAGTGAAATCACTAGACAAGTGTAAAGTAACTTTCTAATTCACACGGGGGAATATTTGTATAGCTACAGATCTGTGGAGGAAGTGACAATCGTCACCCACCCGCCCATTTATCAATCCATTAAATAAATATTTAATTAGGTTCAAATATGTGTTAGACAAGGTCATAGATGTTGCGGGTAAAGAAAAAGATATTGGACACTGCCTCTAACCTTAAGAATTTAATAATTAGATAAATAAACCCGATACACAAAATCTATAATTCAAGGCAGAGGCTAACACCATGAAAAAAGTATCCCAGAAAATGCACTATAGAAATATAAAGAGTTTAGAAGAAGGAAAGATCCTCCTGTCTCAGGGGACCAGGGAAGGTTTAATGAAAGAAGTCACATTTAAACCAGTCTTGAAAGATATTTAGAAGGTGGAATTGGGGTGAGAGTGAATGGTTCCTGCAAGTGGAGAAACTTTGTAAATATAGGTACAGGAACAGAAAAGTCTGGAAAGCTTTGGGGAAATAGGGGGCAGTTTATTGGGCTGATGAAAAAGGAGGCTGATGAAAAAGGAGGAGACTGTCATGGCAGTTAGAAGTAAGCCCAAGGGCCTGAAATACCAAGCCAATGAATTGAGGATTAATTTGATAAGCAATGAGGATGCACTGAAAGGTCTTTTGTTGTTGAATCAATTTATCAGAACTGCACATTAGGAAGACTAATTTGGAAGTGGTTTTATTAAGAGGAAAGAGAGATTAGAGACAAAAAAGAAAAAAAAGAGGCTGCTATTTCAAAATAGCCTGGGCAAGAGCTAGTGCAAACCCCAACTGGGGCAGAGGCAAACATGGAGGCCCGGGAGAGGTTGCCGACAGCCCCCTGCCTGTGACTGACGGCCAGAAGATGAACCGTTACAGCAAGAGGCGAAATGTAAAATCTAATTTTAGAAAAATCTTAAAATCAGTTAAGTGCTCAACCATAGAGCTTAAGGAAACGTTTTGCATCTTGAGGACAGAGGGTGAATTTTTCTTTCTACCTTTTCTTTGTAAGTATAGGTACTCACTAACAACTTTTCATCCAACTATCTCACTTGAAAGCATTTCTACTATTGTATCATAGTACACGTATCGAAAGAACATGTCTTTTAGTAAACAACTGTGCAAGAGCCATCCTACTAAGATTAAATTTGAATTTCTAAAATTGATTTTACCCCTTTTTGTGTTTAATCTTTGACCTCTGGCCAATGGGCCAGAGTACACAGGGTTTTTTTCCCATCCTTTGGATATAAAGGAATTGTACTTCTGAAAAAGCATCAAAATATAAGGACTCTCATGTGAAAATAATCTGCATGAGCTGCTTAAAACTGGGATATTTATCTTCTCTCATATCTGATCCACCTGTAGGTCTACCTTCCAACTACATTCAAAATCCAACCATTCCATTTCTCAACTGTGACCTCATCCCAGTCATCATGTTCACTACACTAGATTACTGCACACTCCCCCTTAGACTTCTTTGCTTCTATACTTTCCCCCTATGCCACAGGGTCTCTCCCCACAGCAGCATGAGTGGCCCTTTTAAAATGGAGATCAGTCACATCACTCTTCTGCTCAAAACTTCCAAAGGCTAAGGAACTCAAAACATCAAAGTCCTTAATGGTCCACAGGCCCCATACATATGGACACAATTATCCTCCAACCTCATTTCCTGCAACTCTCACCTTGGTTCACCCTGTTCCAGCCATACTGGCCTCTTTGCATTGCCATCTATGCACCAAGGAGATCTGGACTCTAACTGCTCCCTTTGCTTGGAAAACACCTTCCCTGAATATCCACCTGGCTGACTCTTATACCACCTTTCAAGAGTTTTGCTCAGATCTCAACTCTCACTCAGGCCTATCCTGGTTCCCCTATTCATTGTCACAAACTGTCCTGACCCCTTCAGCTCCACTTCTTCTACTGACCTAGCAGATAATTTACTTATGTTGATTGTTTATTTTCAGTCTCCCTCAACCAGAAGTTTGGCTACATGAAGAAATGAATCTTTGTTCATTTCCTGTTGTGTCCCAAGTACTATTTAGAATAGTAGCTCTCAATAAATATTTGTTAAATGAATGAATAAGCATATAAGCACAGCTCAAGTTATCAGACACTTTTTAAAAATTAAACTTAGGGGGAAAATATTTGTAACAAATTTTTAATGATCTTTGATCTCTTAAATCACTTTATAACATATAAAATTGAGTTGGAAATATAATTGAAGTCAGTTCCTTTTTTGCTCTTTTGTGAATTTCAAGGAATCACAGGTAGTGATTTCCACAAAGGATCTTCCAAAGTGAAACCTACAGAGTTCCATCTGTTTTGAGCCTGTGGAAAAACTCTCCATTTTTAATTTCTCTGTAAATAAATGGATGTTCTTTTCACTATCCATCCTGTGGAGCTTTCTCAAGAAGGAAACACATAAAGAGAAATCTGCTGTTCACTCAAAGGAGACCCTGTAATGTTCTTTATTCTCTGCAGAACGTGGTCCCACCCATTAGAAACAGGTCCGAATTGGTCTGGTGCTGAAGTCTTACTGTTTATCTTTAGAGCAATCAAAATGACTGGACACAGAATTAAACTTTTAGTCCGAGATTTTATAATTTTGAAAGAATTTTCCAGAATAGTATGATCTTATACTTTTGAATTCATCATTCCAAAATGAAAGTTCATTACCCAAAAGTTTTTTTAAAAGCAAGAACTTGGGAAAGGTTTGGGTGTCTTTGGTTTTTGTTTTGTTTTGTTTTGTTTTCTCGCCTAGGCTTGTATAGCTCAGTCATGTAGCCTATGCCAGATGGAGCCTAAACAATAAGCTGCTTCATGCTCTGGATAAAAGTTACCACGATTTTTAAAATTTCATCTGTTTAGATAAAAAAGCTTAAATGTTGTTTTAACCAAGTGTCTGGCATGTCTGTGTTTCAGAAACAAGAGAAAACAAAATCTGCCTGGGAAATACGTGAGCGGGAACAACATACTCTGTTTCTAAGGAAAGTAAAATCTAACTGTTCAACATTTATCTATTTCTAATACATTTCTTCAGAAAGAATAATGTTAGCCTTAGTGGTCTTCAAAAACATGCTTAACTTCTTAGAACTTTAAGGAATAACATTTGATTGACGTTTAGAATGACATTCTAAAGAATGCGCCCAATTCAATGACTTAACCTACTGGTCTCACATCCATCCCTTCATTTACTTGTTTGGAAACAAGCATTCTCTGGGCTCCTACTCTAACATTATGTAAGACTATCATTGTATAATGCAATTGAGCCACGATCCTTCATCTAAGAAGACAACTTTGTTGCTTTTACTTTCATCCAGTAGAGTTCTAGATGCCTGACAATGTTCTTTGTAATCTGTGATATAGTTTGCCACTATAAAACTGAAAATCACAGTATTTTAGAACAAAACTAAATCATATAAGAGACAGACAAAAATGGAGAGACACAGAGACACAGAGATGAAGGCAAAAAGAAACTAAACAGGAACACAGGCTTCTCTATTAAACCAGCAAGGCACATCTATTTCATTTTTTCCAAATGCAGAAACTGATTTTAAAAGAAGAGGTAGACGACTTCAAGGGAAAACTATATTAAGAGAGGCTACATTGTAAACCTAGTGCAAAAATTGGTCGACGTTTTACCAAAGTTTAATTTTATTTATGTCTTGCTTAACTTTGGCTAATCCTATTTAATAGATTTTTAATAAATATTCATTCAATAACTATTTACTTCTGGTCTCAGCTGCTAGTCAAATAAAGTAGAAAAGTGACCACAATTCCCCACTGGCAGCAGATAAACACAGCAGAAGTCATTATTTAAATGACATTAACACCTTAAACCCAGGAACTGGCAAATAAGGATTGAAAACCTTATCACACAAAACAGAAAATTCTGGCAGAAGAGGTCTGGTAAGTGAAGGAGTTGCAGTAACCTATTAGAACTTATAGTTACTCGGGTCCATGGATGAACGAGTGTCATAGTAGAATGGAAGGAGCATATGCTATAAAGCTAGACAGACCGGGGTTCCCATCTCAGGTGCTCCATTTTCTGGGGGTATGACTAGGCCATTCTACCTCTCTGAACCTCTGTTTCCTAATCCATGAAACGAGATAGTAATATCTATGTCCTCATGACCTGGGAATAGGAAACAATATGTAAGCCAGAAACAAAGACACCAACCACAACGGACGTGATGCGTAAACCTGACACACAGAAATCAAGAGCATCTGTCAACAAAAAGAAACAGAGTTTAAAAAATATAAACGCCATAGACTGGGAAAGAAGATCTGCCTCATTTTTAACTGACAAAGGACTAAGGTACAGATTAATAAAGAAATCCTATAAATCCAAAATAATAGTAGTAAGACAGCTAAAAATGTACAAAAGACTTGAGACACTTAACAGAACAGAAAATCCAGATATCAAAAAAAACATGAAAAGATGCTTGACCTCATTAGTAATCAGGGAAATGCAGATTAAATAATACTGCATTTCAGGGTTATCTGAGGGAAGTAAATGATTATATATTTAAAGTAGCTATATAAGTGCTGGTATATGGTAGGTATAAAAGCTATAAGTCAACCTCGCCAAAGATCTCTGCTTGACTCTTTCTACATGCCGTCGCTATAACGCCCATGAACATCCAAATATAAAGCAACTCTCCATAGCCTTAACGTCCATTAATAACCTGAACTTACACTGGATGCTTCCGAAGCTTAGACTCAAGCTTGGACTTCTCTCTAGTAAATATACCCAGATTTAATGCAGCAACCCCACTCCTGGCTTCCTGCTCTCTTTCTGATTCTAATTTTCTCTTCATGTTATTGCCTTCAGCCCCTTTACATTCATTTTACATCGTTAGAGTGCATGCACCTAGGCAAGGTATTTTCAATTCTTTCTGAGAACAAGTAGGATATAAATAAACATTATAAAACAAATCTTTGCAAGGATTGGCCCATTACCTAGAAGTCCTCTGCATTACCATGAACCCTCTGAGCATAATACATCTGTGGGTCACACACAAATGCACCGAATCTGTCATATAAATGGGTTGCTATGGAGAAGGCTCAAAATCAGCGCCCTGAGAACTGCACTTGCTCTTTGGCGAGTACCTTAACTTAGCGTCCTCTAAAAATGTATTAGTCAAGGTAGTTTCTACCCAACTGGAAAGAACGACATCCACACATTTGATCGATGACCAACAGACCAATTACGACGGTACGTACCAAAGGAGAGAGAGTCTCCGCAGAGTAATGAGGGGGTCGTGTCTCGACAGCTATTTCGGGATCTTCCTGTTCACTCTCACTGTAGCATTCTATAACAAAAAGGAAAACGCTGAATGTTTCAGCACTGTCATCACTTATTCCATAATGCATGAGCAGAGGTTCTTCTCCATCTGGCTATTGCATTTCCAACCCAATTCAGAAAGCACTTATCTAGTGAGCTACCTGATACATAAGACTTTCCCTCTGTGAGGGTTTCTGCCCTCAAAGAGTGTCCAATAAGCAGAAAGACGACTAACCATAGCTCAGGGAAAATGAAACTAATTCCTCAAAAGAGGTGTGAGTCATACACTAAGGGAGCACAAGATCAGTAGTGATTAATTTTGAGCATAGGAATCTTAATGAGCTGAAAATGGCAGGATAAGTAAACCATCAATGGTGCACACAGAGTAATGGGAGTACCAGGCTGAGGACACAGACTGAGCCAAGTATTCAGAGTCCCCTACGGGACAGGGTGGAAAACAAAGCTGAAAGGTTGCTTGAGGCCATATCATAGAAGGCCTTACATACCAGGAAAAGGAGAAGGGTTTTGTGTAGTTACTTTTTGCTCACAATCTATAAATATACTTCACATATATAATGGGTGCTTATTTTATGGAAAAGAAGACCAAGGAGATGATTAGGACACTGGTTTCACAGTATTGCATTACACTTCTTTATTGTTTTAAATCAAGTTGCCACTTTTTCATTTCTAAATTTAAGATTTTATGATTTTGTTCTCCAAAGATATAACTCCCTACTTCCAATTTCCAAGTTTTATGTGGTCTGAGCATTTCAGAAATAGTGTCAGCTCTGTGACCCTGGCACCTAAATCCTCTTTCTTCTCAATATTAAGGAGTAACTTCATCATTAAGAAGAATTAGACTCTTGTAGCTTTTGAACCCTGAAAGCTACAGACTGAGCTAAAAATACGGCTTCTGTCCCAATCTGACATTCAGGCTCCTGGTACAAACTTAGGGTAATTAGTCTCAGCACACACCTGGTGGAAATACTAAAATATCAGAGAGGAAACAGTGGGCTGAAAGTTATCTGTCTCGAACATGACGAGATCATGTCTGTGAGTAAGAATTCAGTAAGTGGGGCAATAAAACATTTGCATTGGCAATTGGTTGAGATCCCAGTGAAGCCTACAGCTGCTAATATGTGGGTGAAGTGTGAAAAGCGTTCTTAGCCAGCATGGGAAGCTCTATTCCATGTTGGTGAGCCTGTGTGTCTATGTCTGTCTATACATATTTTCAGATAATTTTAAATAACAAAGTATGGTTCATTAGAACAAGACTACATAGAACATGACATTGTATTTTCACCCTATTCTAATATTCTTGCTAAATTTTCAGAAATTGAAAATAGAACATACCTTCATCCTTTGTAGTGGATTCAAGATGGATTATAGCTAATCCAAATTTGTTTAACCACCTAAAATTCAAATAGAAAATAAATGTTTGACAGAGACACTGGTTCCCAACATATTCACCTTTATGCTAGACCCTAAAGGAAGGTCTTGTACCAGACTTTATAACAAAATTAAGTCATAGTGCTATCGTCAGTCTAAACATTTCTAGAAACAGCCTAAGTTTGTGGTATGGAAACCTAAGACCTCTGGTTTCACAATACTGTCCGTACTTAGGGCATTCTTTGCCAGATAAGAAATGAGGTGGCCCATTATACAGCCAGTTAAAGTGGGCAACTACATTAGATATTCTAAATATATGAATAAATATACGTTTTGTAATTGTGTATTTGAAATTCTTGTCAACCATCAAAATGAATTTCTTAACTTGACCTTTAAAGTTCTATCTCTTTAATTCTTAAATGTAAGCTTATTTCACACACACACACAAAATGAAGATGATCTATTTTTAAACCACAATCTTTATATCAATCAGTAAAAAGATCTGGTCAGAGCTTCACAGTTATTCCTAAGCTGGGGAAAATTTCAATTTCTTGAAAAATTTTATGTAAGGTAAAAATTGACAATGTCTCATCTTCCATTGATTTACCATTTATTGGCAATGAATTTCAACTACCCATCAATAATGAAAAAAGAACTAGACAAACCTTAAGGAACACAAACTTGGCTTATGACTTCAGGCCACTGTAGTTCCTTTTCAAGGGTTCAATTAGAAACTTATTTAAATACACAAAAGACACAAAATGTATCTATTTCATATGTTCCTAGCTATATAACCTTCTATTTAAAGGGAAAATATCATTTTGGGGTAGAGATAATCTAAGTGATTTATTTCCCACTTCTTTCCAGTTTTCTTTATTTTTAAAAAATATCCCATAATGTGTATTCATCTTGTTTTGAAACATAAGTAGCCTAAGTCAATCAATATCAACAAAATGATAATAATAATGCTATGCATTTATTGATTCACCTATATGGTTTATTTTTTCTAGTCCTGTAATTCCTGCTAAATTACCCAGCTACACCCCACCATAGCACAAATATTGCACATTCCCAAGTCTGCAATTGTCAACAAATTAGGAACCCTTACCCAACCCTCATTCTGCCATGGTCTTGCTGTACTGATTATTTTTTAACAGGAAATATGTAATAAATTTTATTTTAAAAAATAAATAAAATAGAACTGCCTACAAGACAGAAGATGAGCTCCAGCCTCATTTAGAAAGTCCCCTTTTGCACCATGATAAACATGAGTCTCTTGGGCCACTTAAAACTGGACCAATACCTGGGCCCAGATCATGCCATAGGAACTGAAAAATGCTCATCAAGACTCAGTAGAAAAACAAACAAAACTAAGAAACAGAAAATGACCAAAAAAGTACAAATGGTTAATAAATATATGGGAAAATTCTCAGGCTCAGTAGTATTTTGGGAAATGCACAGGAAAATATTTTCCACCACTAGATTGGCAAAAATTTTAAATATTGCTGATTTCTATTAGATTTTAGGAAAAACATTCTCATCCCTTGAGTCGACCATGAAAAACTGGAACAGCCAATATTAAGCAGGTAATTTGATGATACTATTCAAAACATAAGTTTTCATCCCCTTCGCCCAATAATCGTAGTTATAAATATCTATCCTACAAAACACACCTTCATGTACATAAATAAATGTGGAAGAATATCAATTCAATAAGGCTTGCAAAGGCAAAAAGAAAAAACTGATACAATATAATTGTCCATTAACAGGAAAACGGATAAAGTATGGTACCAATTCCAAAAGTACCATGTTATTAAGAAGCTAATAAAAAGACTGAGATGGGGTGGGGGGCCTTGTAATGGCCTGGAAAAATCCTAACATACTATTAAGTGAAAAAAGCAAGTACAAAACAAAGTGTTTATCCTGATTCAATGTGCTTCTAAAACTATATATTTGCATATGTATTATACAAGACTTGGTATGCAAAGAAAAGCCTCAGAAAGGACACAGTCATATTGTGAAAAGTGGCTTTATCTTAGGGAAAGAAGTAGAACGGGAAGGTAAAGTTGGGGGAATGGGAAGGTTTTCGCTTTACCTACTTCTGTATTACATGATTCTTTACAAGAATATGTTTTATGCATTACTCAACTAAAAGAAACACTTAAAAGTACATTTTTAAAAACTGATCAGGCAAAGCACCATGAATTTAATGGCTCACTAATTCCTAGTTTATTCCTGATTTCATAATTGTATAAGCTGACCCTGCCCGCAAAACAATCATCTCAAAGTGAAGTAGACAAACTTCTTTTTTTAACATAACAAGACAAAAAAACAGATGAATTGAGAATGCCTGAAATAAGAAAAGACGTTTCTAAGTTCCTTTCCAGATATAGCAGAAGACTATTGAACAGTAAAGCAGATTCCTCTCAGCCCTTACCCAAAACTCATATACCTTTAATTGCCACCATCAGTTACCTGCTGGGAAAAACTAGTGATTGTTCAGAATCTTGTTTGTTTTCTTTCTAGAACCCACGGGGTTGGAGTACCTCCTTTGCTAAGCACTTTTTTTTAAAAAACATCCAGGCAGTAGCAAACTTTCTATTTGTGTCTAAATAGATGGATACACAAAAAGACATACTTACATAAAAGAAGATGACAGATGTTTCCTGGGAGTTTGTTGTATGTTAACTGGATGAGAATGTGTGTGTTGAAGAAGCACAAGTGTTAAGAAACTGATGTACAAAATGACATTTTTCCCACAAACACCGTCTGAGAAAGGCAGCTACCACCAGTCTTTGTTTAGAAACCAACCCTTTCATTACCTTTAATTACTCACCCCTATACTTGTCAATTGAGGGTCCCTGCAGAACACACAGTGCTTCTATTAAACTTAACTACCTTTTCCTTCATCATCACTGAGAGAAACGTCACCACCCAAAAAGGCAGTTTCCCAAGGAGGCGAAATTCTGAAACAGGATCCATCTCTCCAGATACCACTCCCTCCTTCCCTAGCACCTCTGCATCTCACTAAGAAATACCCAGATGCACTCCGTCCTAGCTTAAACAGACCTCATCAGTAAGAAAGGAAGCTCTTCAGGGGCTACTGCAGAACAAAGCTTTAGGGCTTCCCTGGTGGCGCAGTGGTTCAGAATCTGCCTGCTAATGCAGGGGACAAGGGTTCGAGCCCTGGTCTGGAAGGATCCCACATGCCGTGGAGCAACTAGGCCCGTGAGCCACAACTACTGAGCCTGCACGACTGGAGCCTGTGTTCCGCAACGAGAGGCCGCAATAGTTAAGAGGCCCGCGCACAGCAATGAAGAGCAGCCCCCGCTTGCCGCAACTAGAGAAAGCCCACACACAGAAACGAAGACCCAACACAGCCAAAAATAAAAATTAAGTAATTAATAAAAAAAAAAAAAAGCTTTAACCCCCCCCTCCCCCACAGCGCCTACTCTTGTGGGAGAAGTTAACTTTCGGGATTCTGCATTGTTGGCTATTAGAAAAACCATCTTCAGAATAATAAAGCTTAATAATGACATTATAAATGAAAAATTATGATACATTAATTGTGATACATTCAGGCACAGACAAAATGGGCCATTTATTTATGAGTAGCCAGACGGACAATTTTTGAGTATAAAGGTCACTGAGAGATTCAAATATATGGGTCATGACACCTCACATTCAAATTTCAATTTTATATCTTGTTTGTAAGCTGGAAAGATAAACAAATACTAAAATAATTTCAAGTAAAATTAACAGATCTTCACAGCATAGATAATCCATGAGATCTTGGCTTTCATAACTATAAAAGGCTTTGGTTTAACAATCAAATAGGCAGAGTGTGTAGCTAATAATCATGCAACTGTACTTGCCATTAGATAGAGCTCTGCAAAGGGAGTATGTTGAAAAGTGAAGATAAATGGGCCAGAAATGTAAACAAAAACTGGAGGACTGGGTGGGCAGGGAGCTAAATAACTGGTGTGTGATTTAGAAAGCACATCTGCCTGAAATAGAGCTGACTCAGATAATCTGGTAAGGGTCTCACACTTTTACTGGCTTAAAATGTGTTTCACTGTGTAGGTAGAGAAATTCTCTCGGTAACAAAACCTTTCGCAGTCATTGTTTTTCTGGTAAACTCAGTCTTACTCTGCCCTTGTTGGAGAGAACACAACGACTTTGAAAGAACCAGTCACAGGATGAATGGGAAGGATGTGGACCGGAAGAAAGTTGGAGATACAAGAAGCTGTTTGGGAGAAGCCAGGCACCAAGGGACCCTATGGGGGTGGGGAGAGGTTGCTGACGGGCAGCCCTGTTTCACCACCATTAAAGCTTAGAAAGGACCACTTGGGATTGATGGATGGCTCGGCTCCGGACTGACACTCACTACTATATGATTCCAAGGACCGCTGGGCAAGACATTAAGCTTTCCACGCACCTAGACCTTGCTAGTCAATAGGATTTAGCGTTACCAACGCAAATAAAAAGAGAAATAAAGAGCTTTGACTGTGAAGTTTTTATCTCCTCCTTTTGTGTATCTGCTCTTATTTTTCTCAGATGCTTGAGAAAGCTGGTGGGGGGGGAGTTAAAAGTCAAAAAGAGGATAGAAACAACTTCTTTCCTTGTCCAAGTAAATTAAAGACTTGTTTGGAAGACGCCGTTGTCAGTACCTTGCTTTGTCATTTCTAACGCAGGGTTCTCTAACTTTCTCTGGTAAACAGCAATTCCGCCCTCATCTAAAGGTTTGTGGTGGCGAGATAAATGCAGGGAACAGATGAGAATGCTTCTAGGGAGAAAAGGCTTCCCTGGGGATATGGTGTAAGGCATTCTCTGTGTGTGTGTGTGTGTGTGTGTGTGTGTGTGTGTGTGTACTCCTGCTCATATATGTTTAGTAAAAAGCAGCTTTTTTTTCCTTTACATTTCTAAAGCAAGAGGCCAAAGAGAAATTACAGAGAACAGATAGATAAGAAAATCATTATGTCTAAATAAATTAATATGAGGGGTGGGATAAGGAGGATGGGAGGGAGGCTCAGGAGGGAGGGGATATGGGGACACGTGTTGCACATGGCTGATTCGCTTTGCTGTACAACAGACACTAACACGGTATTGTGATGCAATTATACTCCAATAAAGATCTATTAAAAGATAAACTGATTAATAGATATAAATATATAATTAAATATAAAAATATAAATAGATTAAACGATAAGCTCTGTGAATGGAGGGATTATGTCCATATTTTTCAGGTCTAGTGCCTGGGATCTGCTGCAAGGAAGCGCATAATAGTTATTCCATACATATACATTTTTTTCATACATATATTTTTAATTAATTAAGTGAAAGTAATAAGAAACACTGAATTCTGAGACTAGGACTTAAATAGAATGCCCTCTGGTGCCTCAAGCACCTTAAATATATAGAGCCTCATCCAAGTAAGAGCCACTGCGATCTCACCGTAATCTAAACCAGCAGGGGATGTCGCAAGACGAGTAACACTCTACCAGTATATTCCACTTACTTAAACTGAGCAAACAGGAAATGGAGTTAGGGATATGTATTTATATTAGAGGTACTCTAAACAACGATGTTTTGCAAAATTTGGGGCTAGAACATGGAGAGATGATAACCATGAATCATGATAATCACACAGCACCTGTGAAATGCTGCAGAGATATTTTTCGTGTAGAATTCTGAAAGCTGTGAGATCGGTTACACAATTCTTTCGAGCCTTTCTCCCTGTGATGCTGATTCTCATATTAACATTTTCTTATAATGTCTTCTATTCCTTTCTCAACTTAGTGGTTCCCTCAGAAGAATCTTATTACTTCTTCCTAAAATAGCCATTTTGATCTGTGCAGCTCTCCAAAATGCTTCTAAATACTAGAAAAGAAAGCGAGAAGACTTTGTAACTGCTAAGGAGATTAATCCTTAAAGCAGCAGAAATAAAAAAATCATAATTGATATGCACATGTGCTTAAAATTCAGACACCTGACCAAAGTAATCTATTCCCATAAAGATTGGATTTAGTGATGGTTCTCTACTTACAGGTTCATTTCCTGCACATTCTCAGCTGCAAAATAAAAGGTCTTGATCTGTGGATGGCTGATCTTAAAAGCACTTGAAGGGGGAAAAGCATAGACACATAAGAAATTAGAAGTTAGTGTAGTCAACAGTGTAGTCGAAAGTAAAACAGTCAAATATAAGTATGGTAAGTTCATCTGCTTTCTTTGTTAATTTACAAAAACAAAAGTTTTAGTTACGTTAAATACCCATTGTCTAATCTCTATTTTATGTAGAGAGCAGAGGGGTAATTCATCATGTCAGGACATCCAGACCAGGACTGAGTCATGGCTGATCAATAGTTTCTATTTAAAACATATGGATATATTCTTTTATTTTCATTTGCTGTTTTGCTATAAATAGACAATAAATTAAAATATAAAGTGATAGATTATCACTTCAAAATACTCAGATCAATTCCTTCATACAAAGTATTCATTCAAATTCAATCAAGCATATACAATAATTGTATTTACAGAAAAACAATCAAATATAAAACTTCTACACTGTGAAAACACATCAAAAACTTTATCCAAGCTATTCTCTATTAGTAAAGGAAAAATATAAGGCAGATTTTTCGTTTAAAAGAAAAGTATAAAACATTGAAGATAACAAAGTATTTCCCTTTTACCATTTAGACAGGAAGTCCTGCTGTATGGGCCAGAGATTTTGTAAATGACCAGTGTGGTCAAAACCACAACCTCGTGTATCACTAAAGATAGGAAGCTATATCAGAATGGCAAAGACCTAAAGCCAACACCAGTTTATTCATTAAAAATAAACTAATCGGGCTTCCCTGGTCGCGCAGTGGTTGAGAGTCCGCCTGCCGATGCAGGGGACACGGGTTCGTGCCCCGGTCCGGGAAGATCCCACATGCCGCGGAGCGGTTGGGCCCGTAAGCCATGGCCGCTGAGCCTGCGTGTCCGGCGCCTGTGCTCCGCAACGGGAGAGGCCACAACAGTGAGAGGCCCGCGTACCGCAAAAACAAAAACAAAAAATAAATAAATAAATAAACTAATCAATTGCTGTCACTAGGAACACAGGTCAATAGGGAACTGCCCCACTCTAATAAAACAGGAAAAGATGTCAAAAGCAGAATAAAGAATAAGTGAAAGGTGAAGAGGACACATATGCAAAATGCAGCTGGATCCTATCATGGGAAGAGCACTTCACTGGGAGTCTGGATAGCTGGTCTAGAGTCATGGGCTGGTGACTCTTGGCTCCGGTCCGCTCTCAAATCTTTTGGACTTCCGTTATATCAGGGGGCTAATCCCCAAGTCTAGGACATCTCAGAGAATTCAATTTCAAGGATGTTACTGACAATTCCATGAACTAAGAAAAAGAAACTGGTTTGGTATCATATCTGCAGCTCTGGTGACTCCTATGTAGTCATTCTCTTCACAAGGACACAGCCTTGACATCTCGTCACCCTGCCAGTCCTGGATGGCAGCTTGCTTTTCACTGGATCACAGACACCATCATTAACAGCACGCCCTGCTAGGGCTCCGTGGGGTTTTAAAATCCATCTGCTCCACAAAATGAAATTCCAGAAGACAAGAGGTTAAAAGCTTCTATTATTGTTTGGGGTTCCAACCCATAAAGTCAAAATTCTCAGACATTTGAATGTCACCATCATTAACTTCCAAATCACCTTATCACCTGAGGAACATTATAAAGAAATGTTATCCTGGCTCCATATTTTGTGGAAAATGATAGACAACTTACTGCTTTTTCTTGCATTCAGATGCTCTCTCTACAGTGAAATCAGGCAGGTTGATAAATCCATCAGCTTTCTCTGCCTGAAACAAATACATACACAAATATGAATAAAAGTGTCCATCTTAGCAGTTCACTTATTGGGATCATATATGTTGAACAGAGATAAAGTGAAATGGAGGTGTGTCAAAAGATACCCCTCGGGGCTTCCCTGGTGGCACAGTGGTTGAGAGTCCGCCTGCTGATGCAGGGGACACGGCTTCGTGCCCCGGTCCGGGAAGATCCCACATGCCACAGAGTGGCTGGGCCCATGAGCCATGGCCGCTGAGCCTGCGCGTCCGGAGCCTGTGCTCCAAAGCAGGAGAGGCCACAGCAGTGAGAGGTCCGCGTACAACGAAAAAAAAAAAAAAGATACCCCTCTGAATCAGCATTGGACTTATCCTAGATACATATTTTTAAGAGGAATTAATATTCTTCTGATAAATCATCCAGAATCTTTCCCTGAGAAGTAACACGGCACAGTTTAGGGACAGCCAATGTGTGGCACAAGTAGGACCTGCCCGACTCCTTTTTGTCTTCCTAGAAAACATCAGAGCTCCACTTCCTGCTATCCTCAGCATCTTTCTCATCCTACTTCTCTCACAAGCCACAGGCACATAAGAAGAAACCTAATTAGCACGCTATTATATGGTGAGCAGAGGCCTGACTTTGGAGTCAGTAAATTGAGGTTCGTATCATGGATCTACCACCTACTGGTTGTAATAGGACTTAAGTGAGCTCAGACAAATAAAACACTTAACAGATACTGAACAAACATTTTTTCCTCTCCCAAGTCTTTAGGAAGTTCCTAGGGGGTTAAATCACAGAGCCATGTCTTGGAAAATCTCAGTTCCATAATCAATTCCCAGGAGTTTTTTTCTATAAAGGAAAGACAGCAGAGGAAAATGACACTTTTAAGGATGTAGAATGAATGCCACTTTAAAACACCAAGAATTTTACAGGAAATGTAATCATTGTTCCACCTCTAAAAATGTCTTAATCTTTACTTTATGAATAAAATTTAACTGAACCATAGGAGGCTAGACTGCTTATCATAGACAGAGCTCAAATCTTCCATCTACACTGGTGTCTCTGAATGGAGAATTACAATCCACAAGATTAAACATAAAAGAGTCAGTTATTGGGAGATGAGTAAAAATTGGTTTTAAAAATACAATCTTAATTTTTAGAGTTCAGCTAGCTATGAAATCAGCACCATGGTGCTCTTCATCTGTGTTACTTTCCCTTATCACCAAATAGGGTGCAACTTGCACTCTTTCTTCAGAAATATTAAACTGTGAAACTTCCAACCTTGGCCCTGTCCTGTCTTCTCTCTCCTGCATGAGTCAACTTATCCAAACTCTTCACCTGAAGTGCTTTCTTCTTATGAAACTCAAAACTCAATTCGAAAGGGCACTTCCTTCTTTAAAAATTATACATGTTTTTTTCACTCAACTTATCTCTCTTTTGATGTGTTATTTAATTACTGAATGGTGGTTTCACCAATCCTATCTCAAAGAGAATGTAAAGAACTTGAAAAGAGACTGGGTACGTCAACTTTTTCTACAATGCACAATGCTTCTTGTGAACTCTCAGTTAGCATTATACAAAAGTATAGTGTTTAGGGCTTCCCTGGTGGCGCAGTGGTTGGGAGTCCACCTGCTGACGCAGGGGACACGGGTTCATTCCCCGGTCTGGGAGGATCCCACATGCCGCAGAGCGGCTGGGCCCGTGAGCCAAGGCTGCTGAGCCTACGCTCCGCAACGGGAGAGGCCACAACAGTGAGAGGCCCACGTACTGCAAAAAAAAAAAAAAAGTATAGTGTTTAAAATTTATTTTATTGAAGTATGGTTGATTTACAATGTTGTGTTGATTTCTGCTCTAGAGCAAAGTGATTCAGTTATACATATATATTGATACCCTCTTTTTCACATGCTTTTCCATTATTGTTTATCACAGGATATTGAATATAGTTCCCTGTGCTCTACAGTAGGATCTTGTTATTCTACAGATAATAGTTTGCATCTGCCAATCCCAAACTCCCAAGCCATCCCTCCCCCACCCACACTAAAAGTATAGTTTTAAAAAACGATGTTAGGCTCCAGCAATTTCTCTTTTAGATATATACTCAAAAGAAGTGAAAACAGGTACTCAAATAAATACATGTACATGCGTGTTCATAGCAGTATTATTCACAATAGTCAAAAGGTGGAAACAGTCCAAGTGCCCATCAACAGAGGAACAGATAAATAAATGGTGGTCTATCCATACAATGGAGTGTTATTCAGCCATAAAAACAAATGAAGTACTGATACATACTGTAATGTGGAGGAACCTCGAGAACATTATGCAAAGGGAAAGAAGCTAGACACAAACCATCACATATTGCATGCTTCATTTACATGAAATATCCAGAATAGGTAAATTTACAGACAGAACACAGATTAGTGGCTGCCAGGGGCTGGGGTGGGGGTAGGGAATAGGGAGCCACTGCTTAAAGGGTATGGGTTTTCCTTTGGGTTGATGAAAATGCTTTGGAACTAGACAGAGATAGTGGTTGCACAATACTGTGAGTGTACTAAATACCACTGAATTGTTCATTAAGGAATGGACAATCTCATGTAAATTTCACCTTGATTAAAACAACCCTATGATAGGCTAGGGTATTTTAGTGTAAATTCCTGTAATTATTTTAGAAAGAATAAAACAATTTATATTCACCATTTGTTTCTACTTCCTCCCCTCATTCATTTCTATGCCCACAATTCCACAGAAGGGGTAGTTACCATGAACCCCAGTGATTTTCATGTTGCTAAATCCCACTACCCTCTTTAGTCCTCATTTAATTGAAGTCTAGGAACGGACACTCCAGCCCACTTCCTCCCTCTTGAAATGCCTCTTAACAACACATTCCTGCTTCCCCCTTTCTCCTCTAACTACTCCTTGCTTTCTTTCATAGGGTCTTCTTCCCCCTGTCTGTTTCTTAAATGTCAGTATTTCCCAGATTTCTAACCACAGACCTACTCTCTTCTCATTCCAGTACTCTCCACAGGGAATCATACACACACCCACGACTGCAGGTATAACCATTGTACACACATATCCAAAACCTATACTTCAAACTCATTTCAATCTTGGTGCTTCTGTCCCAAGATACAACTGCCTAGTGTACCTATTCAATGGGTGTTCCACAGACCCCATATTTGTGCCCCCCATCCCAAATTCATATGTTGAAGCCCTAAACCCTAAAGTGATGGTATTTGGAGGTGGGACCTTTGGGTAAATTAGGTTTATTAATTTATTTTATTTTTGCTGTGTTGGGTCTTCATTTCTGTGCCAAGGCTTTCTCTAGTTGTGGCAAGCGGAGGCCACTCTTCATCGCGGTGCGGAGACCTCTCACTGTCGTGGCCTCTCGTTGCGGAGCACAGGCTCCAGACACGCAGGCTCAGTAGTTGTGGCTCACGAACCCAGTTGCTCCGCAGCATGTGGGATCCTCCCAGACCAGGGCTCGAACCCGTGTCCCCTGCATTAGCAGGCAGATTCTCAACCACTGCGCCACCAGGGAAGCCCGGTAATTAGGTTTAGATGAAGTCATAAGGGTGAAGCGCTTACTAATCCTACAATGGGATTAGTGCCTTTATAAGAAGAGGAAGAGACCAGTGGTTCCCCCTCTTCTCCCTACTCCTCCTCCATCTAAGGATATGGCAAGAAAGCAGCTGTCTGCCAACCAGAATGAAGCCCCTCAGCAGACATGGAATCTGCCAGAACTTGATCTTGGACATCCCAGCCTCCAGAACTGGGAGGAACAAATAGTTGTTGTTGGAGGCACCCAGACTATGGTATTTTGTTATGTGACAGCACAAACTAAGACTCTCCCCAAGAGTGGAAAATCCACAACCAAACTCATCATTTTACTCCATGAAATGCCTGTTCCTCTTTCTCCTGTGTTCTCCTCTTCAGTGAAAGATACCACTTTCTATCCAGTTGTCCAAAAAAAAAAAAAACGGAAATATGGAAGACACCTTTGATGCTTCAATCTCCTTCTCAGCTTCTGTGCAAATAACCACTAAGTTGTATCATTGCTGCATCTGCCACAGCTCTTTAATGCATCCCTTATCCACCACCTCCTTCAGACCACCATTAACTTTCACCTGAATTACTGCAAAAGTCTTCTAAACCATTATCCCTCTCTCTAGTTCCGTCCTTTCCTCTGATTTAGTGTCCAAATCACAGTCACAGCAAATCTCCACTCCATGAACTTCTTCTTTCATTAAAATCCTGTACGGTTTCCAACTGCTCTTAGACAAAGTCTAAGCCTTAGCAGAGTATAAAAGGTGCTTCATGATCAAGCCCTGCTTAATAATACAATTTCATTTCCTCCAGGGTCCCTACCCCTTATTCAACCAAAATAAACAAACAAATTAAAACACAGAGAAAAATACTTCCATTGAGCTGAATTACAATTAGCACCCAATTTATAGCATTATTAGTCTCTAGACAATTTTTTTCAGTACAAGAAGCCCATATTAAATGATAACAACACAAAAGTCAATCAACAAAAAACTAAATACAGATATATGTAAAAGATAAATTGTAAGTCTTCATTTGGGTGGATTCCTTTCCTGCAAAATGGAGATGGCTGAGATTCCTTCAAACAAGAGCCAAAATGAATATGAGTAAAAGATGCTTTAGTATTTCCCCAGTAATGTTTCCTTTATGAGCAAAGGCATTTTTCATTGTACCTAAGACATTCAAGGTGTATTCAAAATCACAACTGTGTCAAAAATTGTCTTTGCTTATTTGACTTGCAAAAAATGCCTCAAAAATGACAATCACAGTGGGAAAATCCTAAGGAAATGACAGTTTTCTCTTCTTCTTCCTCCTTTCCCTCCTCCACCCCCTCAGATCCCTCGTTCCTTATTGTATTAATTAAATAACTTTCTCAAATGGCATCCTTTCTCTTCAATCATTCCTAAATTTCTGAAAAGTTACTTGAAATTTCTGCATCGGTACCTGCAATTTTTTCTCTGGATTCTAATGTAAT